GACGTACTGGACCTAATGGTATGTCTACATGATACGACCGGGGCGTATCAGCAGATTCAGTAACAGTACCAGGTACCTGGCGATTCTGGAGGTTGACCCATACTGGTGTACCACGCTCCAGAGGAGAAAGAGGACGAGCTTTCTTTCTTTTATCAAAGTTCTCTTTTTGCTTCCTCTTGTGCTTCTCCTCAGCTCTTTCAAATTGATCCAGAAAAGGCCATTCAGGTCTAAATTGATTATTGGTCTGAGGTACATCAGTTCTGATTTTACGTCCCATCAAAAGTTCAGCAGGACTGAAGTGGCACCAGGGTAAAGGGGTTGCTCTATAAGCAAGTAAAGCCAAATATGGATCTTCAGCATCCTTAAGTAGTGCTTTCACTGTCCTAACTGATCTCTCTGCTAGTCCATTTGACTGAGGATACAGTGGACTGCTAGTAACGTGAGTGAACTGGTATTGAGTTGCAAAGTCTTTCATCTCACTACATGCAAACTGAGGACCATTATCCGACATCAGAACTTCAGGGATGCCATATCTAGAAAATATAGATTTCAATGCAGTAATTACTTTAGTGGCTGTAGTGAAAGCCATTTGCTTCACCTCAATGAACCTGGAGAAGTAATCAACAGCAACTAAGTAAACTGACCCTTTCAGTGACAAAGGTCTACAGGTTGACAGGAGGGGTTCACTGGTCAGTGGGGTTGTCTGACAGCACTGTGGGCAAGTTCTCACAAAGGCTTCCAGGTCTTTGAAGACTCCAGGCCACCAGACTGCAGTCAAAACTCTCTCATAGCATTTGCTTATGCCTTGATGACCTTGATGAATCTTCTGCAGTGTCATCCTCTGTAGACTCTTTGGTATTACAATTCTGTTTCTGAACAGTAGTAATCCATTGATGTAAGACAATTCTGTCCTAACCGTCCAGTAAGGTTGTATGACAGATGAAACGCTACCTCTATCAGGCCATTCTGATTGATACCACTGGATTATCTGAGAGTATATATCATCTTCAACTTGCCCTTGCCTATATTCTTGTAATTTAGTATCATTTGCTGGTAGAAATGATATAATGGCTTGAACAAATGATTCCATCTCTACCTCTTCTCTTTCCTTCAAAACGTGAGTGACTGGGGCTCGTGATAGGGTATCAGCTGTGTAGAGTAGTTTACCAGGAACATGAGAGATATCATACTGGAATCTAGACAATCGCAATCTGAAACGAAGGATTCTAGGAGGTAAGTTAGCTAAGCTTGTTTTACCCAGGAGAGGAACCAATGGTTTATGATCAGTTTCCAAACTAATGTGTTTTCCCAGCACGCACCAGTAATCTTTAAATTTATCACAGGCCCAGACTATCCCCAGAGCTTCTTTCTCAATCTGGGAATATCGTTGCTCTGTTTCACTCATGAACCTTGAGGCATATGCCACTGGTCGCCATGTATCTCCAGAATACTGTAGCAATACAGCCCCTAATCCAAATGCAGAAGCATCAGAACTTATTTTAGTAGGAGCATCAGGATGGTAGATAGCTAGGATAGCAGGTTTAACCAGCTCATCTTTTATATCTTGAAAAGCTTTCTCTTGAGGAGCCCCCCAAATCCAGACATTCTTGGTACTAAGGAGCTCTCTCAGTGGTTGAGCCAACTCTGATAAGTGGGGAGTGAATTTCCCTAACTGATTTACCATACCCATGAATCTTCTTAACTCTGTTAATGTAGTTGGCTGTTTCATCTTCAAGATAGCTGATGTCTTGGATGGGTCGGCAGAGATTCCCTCTTGATTAACGATATGCCCAAGGAACAGAAGTTGGCTTTTGTTGAATTCACATTTCTCACCATTCAAAGTGACTCCTGCTGCTTGAATCTTCTTTAAAGCAGCATGCAATCTATCATCGTGCTCTTTTTTATTCTTTCCAAATATTATAATGTCATCAATATGACAAAGAACTCCCTCTTGGCCAGCTAAAATTTCCATCATACATCTTTGGAAGTATTCTGGAGCACTACTAATCCCAAAGGGTAGTTTATTAAAACAATATCGGCCATAAGGGGTAATGAATGTGGTCAGATGTTTTGAACTCTCAGCCAGGGGGATTTGCCAAAAAACCACTATTGGCGTCCAGCTTACTAAAAACACTGGCACCGTTTAAGTGAGCCAATGTCTCATCAACAGTATAGGGAGTGGGTGTACTTCCCTTAACACACTCTCATTTAAGGCCCGAAAATCAACACAAATACGAACGGACCCTGATTTTTTCGGTACCACAACCATGCCTGCACACCACTCAGTCGGTTGTTCTACTTTTGTTATAACTCCCAGACTCTCCATTTGGTTCAGCTCTTGCTTGACTTTTGTGCGTAGTGGTAAGGAAACAGTGCGTGCAGTGTAAAGTGCATGAGGTTGTGCATTGTGTTTCAGTTTAATTTCATACTTACGATTGAAAGTACCCAATCCTTTGAACAACAATGGGTATTGATCCTTGATTGATCTGTCAGTAACATCATTCACATGAGAAATGACCCTCAGCTCCCTGATAGCTGGTAGTCCTAATAAGCTCTGTGAGAGATTCTTCAATACATAAGCGATCTGAACAGTCGTGTGCTCTTTCAACGAGAGTTTCACAGCTACCTGTC